GAACACTAAAAGAGAAGGGAAGTATTTCATATTAGATTAAATTCATTAAAAAGTCTATAATTAACTAGAAAAGCTACAATTTCTGGGGAAATTGTGTGAAGTGTTCTTGCCTCCACCAGTAGTCTACAACTGGAGTGGGTGGAGTAACTGTGTTATTATTTATTTATATAGCACATTTAATTGCAAGCCCAAAGTGCTTCACAGTTACATTAAAACATACATTTATAAAAACATTAGCAGGTGTATAAAAGGCCCTGTCTATGACATCACTTGCTGCTCCAGCCTGGCACAGAGCAGAGTATTTTGGCGGTTGCCATCTTCAAACGGTCGCATTTTAAAATCTACACATCCTACAGCGAAGAGCTTTATATTGTGAGAATCACAAGACCCAGACCTACATTTTGATGCATAGTATGTTTCTGAAATATTAACAATGAAGGCACAGTCGCAGTTTAGAAATTGCCCTTCAAATTTGAGCTGGCTAGAGTGGAGTTTCAATGACGGCATAAGTTGCAAACAAATGGTCATATTGTGAAAACTATCAGGATTATGGCTTAGCCGTGGACATATTTAGTGACAGCAGGGATAGCTGAACGTATTGATAAAAGATTTGTGTAAGTGGGTTTGAAAATGAGGGAGTGGTGGCAGTTTAGAAATCCTGTCCTGATTTTTCTGCTATTGCCAGCTCCCACTCTAGTTTTGAACATTTTGCCATTCCTTCCTATGGGACCAATTTCGCCACAAGAACGATATTCCTTGAACCATTCGGCGAAACGCTCCACAAAGTAATCGCAATCCAATCGGGAACAATACGCACGTTTCGGTATATTACTGTCTATGTAGTGTAAAAACTGTGGGAGGAGTTAGGGTGGTAAATTTGGCTATAATATATATGTGAGATAACATTAAGTGGTCTTGCTATGCAAGAACACTTCATAAAATTATAGGAAAAAACTTTTTTTAAAATCATTTGGAGAAAAGTCATTTTTGGTTTCGGTTTCCGGTGCATCCCTAGTTTGTAGATTTTATTTTTGTAATATTGTATCCTATTGTAACAATGCAATGTTTTGTGGACCCAGGACATACTTGAAAATGAGAGGGTTGCTCTATAACTAGGGACAGGGATGCTTAAGAGTTAGGAATACAGGCTTGTATTGCTAATGCTGACAGCCTATTTCATATTTTCTTGTCTCTGACCTGGGTGGTGCCTTTCGTTTACATACTTAAATGTGCTTTTTGTTTATGTTTTCAGCATTTATTGTGGAGTAGAACATGGAGTAGAACTATTAAAACGAATATGTTTAAATATCAACACAATGTGTTTTATTTTTATTTATTAGATTGTCATAGAAGAAGATAAAAAGTTCCTGAAGTTATTGGAGCTCTTGGGACATTACCAGGAGAGGGGCTCAATCATTATTTTTGTTGATAAACAAGAGCATGCTGATGGCTTGCTGAAAGATCTAATGAGAGCATCTTATCCCTGCTTGTCTCTCCATGGAGGTACGTGGGTTTTAATTGTTGCTTTTTGTAACCCCTCCAGGGTTTCCACACGTGTGTACTGTATAAGTTATGTGTATGGTGGAATCTGTGTGATTTCACAAGATGATAGAACTATAGAGGAAGTAGAGAAAAAAAGCTGCATGGAGTGAAAGCTGATGGAAGCATGAAAAGGGAGAGAATAAAGTAGTAAAAAACCAAAACAAATTCTTGTGTGTGGGCCGATGGACATAACAGACAGAAATCTCTAGCGAATGTAAGGAGCTGTTAAGCTGCCCGCAAAGTTAATGCAGGGGTTAGCCTGCAATCCCGACAGGTAAACATTAACTATTGAAACAGGAAATGGATGGCACTCCACTGAATGTGTGTCACATGCAAATATGAGTAGATATCAGTTATCTGCAAAGTACTTGGCAGGTTGGTTAAATGGGAAAAAAAATAGCCTGTGCCATGTAGAGAAGAATATAATAATGCCTTTGCAATGAACTTATCTCTACATCCTCTACATGCTCACATTCTCACAGAACACTTCAAATTCCTCAGAAGCATCACCAGAGCCCCACCAGGCACTTCTTCTCCATGCTAGCAGCTGTGCCATGCATGTTCTAGACTACAGACCACCAGTTCAATTCTCAGTCCCCCCAAAAATCCTGGTCTCCAAGACCTTGTGGATAGATTTGCAGAGCTCGTGTAAGTTTGTGGGTCAGCATAGCAGGTAGTCTGCGGAAGGTTAAGTGAAGTTTAAGTATCTCAACGAAAATGGGCATGTTGGATGGTTCTGGGTAAGTTTCTTTAGCAGATTCCACCACTATCCATATATAGATGGTGCTTTTGCGGAGCAAAATTAAGTGGCTGTGGAATAGAGCTGCAGAAAATGCCTCCAAGCCTAAATTGCCATTAGACCCTCTGACATGCATACACATTCTTATATATGTTACTAGAGAAAAGTTATTTGTACTATTGAATACTTTTTTTTTTTGTTTAGCTTAATAAAGTTTTCAGACAGATTTACATTGCAACTTAATACAATGTGATTTTTTGCATGTGTTACTGATTGTATATGTATTACAATAACTATATTTCTTTACCGTGCTATTTTCTAGGTATTGACCAATATGATCGAGATAGCATCATTAATGACTTCAAAAACGGAGTCTGCAAACTTCTGGTTGCTACATCAGTTGCTGCTCGGGGTCTTGATGTCAAGCACTTGATCCTAGTGCTTAATTATTCATGTCCAAACCATTATGAAGATTATGTGCATAGAGCTGGACGGACAGGGAGAGCCGGAAATAAGGTTAGAAAGATGTCATGGATATGCATTTTTTGTATTGTGAGTTGGCTTGTTATGTATTTGGGTCTATTCAATTGAAATGGCATTTTGATAGAAGGCAGCGATGTTTATGTATGTGTAGATTTTACAGATTTTTTTTTTATTTTTTTTACTAAATTGGCACAGGAAAGTGTAACCAATTAATATACGTAAATTTTGTGCAATATTCTAGTCAGATATATTGATTTGGTCTTTTACATTAACATAATACAATCCAAATGGACATGTTCATTTCAATCAACTAATTTAGCAGTGTAGTCTGGATGTTTTTGTTGTTACATTTCATACAGGGCAACTGAATACTTGTATATTCTAAGTGATTCTAAATTTTAGGCTAAAATAGCTACATCGAAATGTCTTTTGAATTGTCAAATTTGTCATTGATGCTTTTCAGGGCTATGCATTTACATTTATCACAGAGGACCAAGCACGCCATGCTGGGGACATCATTAAAGCTTTGGAACTGTCTGGCACTGCAGTTCCTCCTGAATTAGAGAGACTCTGGAGTGAATTCAAGGATCAACAGAAAGCAGTATGGTTGTTTGTCACTTCATTACAATCGTAATCCATAAACCTTGTAACATTTTCTTTAAGAATGTGTGACATACATACAAATATATTATTTCAATTTTTTTCTAGGAAGGAAAAGTGATTAAGAAGACCAGTGGTTTCTCTGGTAAAGGATTTAAGTTTGATGAAACAGAGCAAGCTTTGGCAAATGAGAGAAAGAAATTGCAGAAGGCTGCTCTTGGCCTTCAGGACTCTGATGATGAAGATACAGCTCTTGATGTGAGTACTTTGCATTGAAATAAAGTAGTGTAAAAAAAATTCAAGGCTTACAGTGGTAAGAGTAATTTGTAAGGCCTGACTAGTAATGTAGGACATGAAATTTTAAGGTGTATGTGTGTAGATACAGCTCTTGATGTGAGTACTTTGCATTGAAATAAAGTAGTGTAAAAAAAATTCAAGGCTTACAGTGGTAAGAGTAATTTGTAAGGCCTGACTAGTAATGTAGGACATGAAATTTTAAGGTGTATGTGTGTATATATATGTGTATTTCATGCATACACACCCCACCCTTTCAATCAACTCTTCCCAACCGGCATTGCTTTCCATTTTGCTCCGAAAAGCCTTTGGTACATCATGTCAACTGCAGTTGTTGGCTTTCTTCTACATAGTAGAACTATAATTCCTAGAAACCCTTTGGTGACCATAAAGTGCTGTTTATGGAATAAGCTCAATAGAGCTATTGAAAGTCGGGGCTTAAGTTTTCCATTGCTCAGTAATGGGCATGCAAATAGTGGTGCACATCCACCAACGTAGCTTGTTG